CTACGTAACATTTTTAATCCATCTCAGCTAATACTTCAGTATAAACTACTGAACAGATATTCCTGTCATCTTTATTTTGAGCTAAAGCTTTTCAAAGTAAGAAAAAAAATCATAGAAATGCAAGTATTCCTATGTTGAAGGTACCAGCAGATCCAGTGAGCGATGTAGGCAGTTTTACTCAGGAATAAAGAATAACGCTGATTAATGTACTCAATGCACCTCATGTTTTATTCAGTGCTAACTAATGAAAAAAGCACAGAAACTGCTATATTCATTAAAATCATTCTTAGTTGCAGTGAGATTCAGTAAACTTAGGTACTGTTATATTCTCATAGGGAAAATTATGTTTCAATGCAACGGTTGCTGAAATGTGATATTCAAATAAAACTACACAATTGCCTCTTAAAACCATTCGGAGGCCAAGTGAAACTAAGCACAATTCTCAATAGCTCCACACACTCTGGGCCTGTTAACTCAGAGTTACCAAGCACCATGTTTCTGGTTTGTGTGGTTTCACAGGGGGCCAACACTACGAACAAGGCAGTGTTATACTCGGGCACATTATAACAGGAATTCCCTGTGAGTAGATTTGTGATTATTAAAATCATTCTCAACCACACAATACATTTTATCAATACTATTTTTGTCATTTATTATTATTATTAAATATTTCTCTTATCAAAGGACAAATTCAAACATTTGTTGCACAAATTAATAGAACTAGAAATTGTACATTAATTCACTAACTTCAACTGAATTGTAGATATTGCTGATAAATCCAAAACATGTTGGAGCTCAAACAAAGTACTGACAATAATAATAATCCTTGCATTTGGTATAGGGCCTTTCACCTCGGTCGTACGTCACAAAGTGCTTCACGGGATTTAGGGTGAAGTTGGTGTGACTATGTACTTGTGGGCAAACCATAGAATTTTCAGGGGAGGGTTTTTTTGGGGGGGAATAGACTGTGTTAATCAAGCAGTACCTCAAAATATGCAATTTAGCTCTACAAAGATGATCAAAGGTCCCAAAGTCCATGCAGTAAGCCAATGTAATACAAATACATAAATGTCAATGCAATATGCATTTTCACCAATAGATGTCACTGGCTTGTTTTATAAAATATAAACCAAGGTGACAGAAAATCCTAAAAGCAACGTAGGTGATCATCACTTTGTTGCTGGAATTTTGATTCCTAGAATCGAATCAAAAGATGACTGAAAAGTGGGCAATTAGCTTTATGTCACTGGTTTATGGCAACCATAACCTCAATCATTCCAGTTCTAGGCTCCTCGCAGTAGTTTAACAGAATCTTTTAAAAATGTTTTAGGACAGAGGCGTTTATCATGTGCTGCTCAACATGTCTAACTAATCAGTGTCAATATTTAAATGCTGCAATTTGCAGCATTTAAATCAGCACAGCAAGCTATCATATTGTGTCAGTTTTATTAAATCTAACTAGACCAGTTCACGATGAATAGACAAGACAGTGCTTTAGGACTGGATCTTGACCAGTTTCTGAGTCAGAGTTATTCTGGTCCCTTGACTTCATTAGTTGCAGGACCTGAATACATCCTGCTTTCAGAACTCTTAATCTAACCATGTTCAGTGCAGGTGAATCTGAAGTAAAATAGTTTGAGAAACTCTAAATGGAAAAGCTTCTATTAATAGTTAAATTTCTCACTTCTGTCACCTCCCCAATAAGGCAAAAGCTCAGATCTATCAAATATATCAATCAGACTACAGTTAAGACCTTTAGCACTACTTTAAACACGAGCAAATTCATTTTGCAGCTGTTATCATTATATGAATTGCTCCTGACTTATAAATCACACAAGGAGCAAGGTCTTAAAGCGCTCTGGGATGCTACACTGCATGAGGGGCACCATATAAATATGTTGTTGTTGTTATCGGTCGAGGGCCCAAGTGGCTAGATTGATCACAAACTCTTGGTTTACACTAGTTCTCATAACAGGCAGTGGTGCACCTCAGCTCACTGAGAGGAATAACAGGATATTTCAGAGCGACTGTTAGGCAGTTCCAAGAGTATCATAAAACACAAATGATACTCAAATAGCTTACAAGCAACTCCGAGCTGAAATAAAAGGTTTGAAATTACTTCACATCTCTGTTTGTACTGTCCAGTTTAGACTTTATGTAGAGGGTTTGTTTGGCTATCAGCACACACTCTTGCTCTCCAGGTCAATGTTTCACAATTTATTTTTATGCAGCAGTGGATTAAGAAACATCCTATTCTTACTGCAGCCTTGAGTAAACATGACAAATGAGATGGGCTCTAACAGTAGCGAATATAAATTCTGATACAGGGTCAGAACAGGAACACCATTGTGTTACTGGCACTTTATTATACAAACTGGATTTTCTGCAGGGAATTCCCTGCACCTCACAATGTTTCAACCTTGGGTCCAACACCAAGGTACATTTTTCAGCTAAAGATGCCAATATTACAGCAGTTTTGATCACTTGAGAGCTTTTTCAACTTCACTAAATGATAGATAGGAATTAAAAACCTAATGATCACTTTATACACGAATTAGAGGGACACCAGCTTCAGTTGGGCAGGCCCACTACGTTAGTGGCCGCGATATAAGCGAGTCACAAAAACATGGCTAACTTTTTGATTGTTGGGTTGCTGCTGGCATCACTTCCGGACCATAGTGTGCACGTATGTGACGCATTGGAAGCACGTTAATATCACCTCATTCATCTTTTGTGAAGTTATGTCAGTGCCACTTCTTGCACAGCATGCAAATAATGATGTCTCCTGTGACTTCAATAATAATAACAACCCTGGCATTTGATATAGCGCCTTATCACATCTTCGAGATGTCTCAAAGCACTTCACAGAATATACTGTAAAGTGAACTGACGTAATATGTTGTGGGCGAAACACGGCAGCCAATTGTGCACAGCAGAACAGTCGTGCATTGAGTAACCAAATTATTTTTGGTTAATTCACTTTACAATATATTCTGTGAAGCGCTTTGAGACAACAACAACAACAAGATTTCATTTATAGAGCACCTTTTACGTCGGGAGGACGTCCCAAGGCGCTGGACAGTTGGGTCAGACCCGAATAGGGGGGAAATGGTCAGGGTGAGGGAAGCGAAGGGAGGGAGCGAGGAGGGGGTAGAGAGTCGAGAGGGGAGCTGAAGGCACGGTCAAAGAGAAAGGTCTTGAGACCGGCCTTGAAGGAGGAAAGGGAGGAAGCAAGGCGAAGGCACTGGGGGATGGAGTTCCAGAACCTAGGGGCTGAGAGACTGAAGGCCCGGCCACCGATGGTAGGGTGGTTGGGGCGGGGGATGTGGAGCAGATTGGAGCCAGAGGAACGGAGGGTACGGGCAGGTAAATAGGGGGATAGTAGGTCGGAGAGGTAGGAGGGAGCAAGGCTGTGAATGGCCTTGTAGGTGAGGATGAGGATCTTGAATTCGATCCTCTGGGGGATGGGAAGCCAGTGGAGGCGAGCGAGGGTGGGAGTTCTGAATGACCTGCAGCTTGTGGAGGGAGGTGCCGGGAAGGCCGGCGAAGAGAGAGTTCCCAAAGTCCAGCCTTGAGGTGATAAAGGCGTGGACCAGAGTTTCAGCAGTGTGAGAGTTGAGGTAGTGCCGTAGTCTGGCAATATTCCGGAGGTGATGGAAGTGATCCAGTTGTGGTGCGGACATGAGGAAGAAGGGACAGCTCAGGGTCGAACAGAACGCCGAGGTTCCTGACAGCTTTGAGAGGTGGAGAGTGCAGCCTTGGATGCTGATGCTGTCAGCGCCTGAGGTGCGGAGGCGCTGACGTGAGCCAATCAGGAAGGCCTCAGTTTTGCGCACGTTGAGCTGAAGAAAGTTGTCTCTCGTCCAGGACTCAATGTCAAACAGGCAGGCTGTCAGGACATCGGTGGTCATGGAGTTGAGGGTAGAGGAGGAAAGGTAGAGTTGGGTGTCATCCGCATACATGTGGAAGTTAACCCCATGTCTGCGGATGATGTCACCGAGGGGGAGCATATAGAGGGTGAAGAGGAGGAGACCGAGGACAGAGCCCTGAGGGACATCACACGAGACAGTGCGGGGGCTGGAGGAAAAGCCATTTGCGGAAACAAAATGAAGACAGTGGGAGAGGTACAACCTAAACCACTCAAGGACAGGGCCTTGAAGGTTGAGGTGGGAGGACAAGCGGTGGAGGAGGATAGCGTGGTCGACCGTATCGAATGCGGCCAATAGGTCGAGGAGGCAGAGGGAGCCTGGTCGCAGATGGTCAAGATGTCATTGGTGACCTTGACCAGGGCGGTTTCTGTGCTATGGGCAGCACGGAAACCCGACTGAAGGGGTTCGAATAATGCATGGGTGGAGAGGAAAGAGCGCAGCTGGGAGGCGACAACTCTTTCAAGGACCTTGGACAGGAAGAGGAGGTTGGAGACGTCTAGAAGACATGAAAAGCGCTATATCAAATGCAAGGATTATTGCTATTATTTTTATTAAGTGAAGTAATGCTATATCAAAGGATGCTCTAATAGAATGTACGACGAACAGGTGCTTTTGAGCACATATTTTCTTAAGAATGAAATATTCGGTTCACGCAAAAGTGGCAAAGAATTCAAATTAATTACTAAAAGGCTCCGATCATGAATTCTAATAACGTGAAAATTTCAAAGAAAATACTGTTATGAACTAATATTGCAGAGAATTTTATTTTGCTTTGGAACTAGCTAGATGAACCACAATGGTCTTTTCTTGTCTGTGTATTCCAGTATAGTTATATACAGAACAGTGTTCCACTCCACACATGCGTAAATTGAAATCCCAAAGTAAAAGGTGGCAGAAGTTTACAGTTTGTGGTTTTTCTCAAGTTCCTTCCTCAACTGCAATAATCTGCCTCAAACATTTGACTTGTAAACTCAGTTACTCTGCACACTTGGGTTTATGACTGAATTGTCCTGTGACTGCTATGCCACTGTATAGAAGCATTTGCTCAGCCTTTAGTCTAAGCATTCCTACCTGATAAAACTCTCGAAGCCAGTTCTTTTGTAGGTTTTCAGGCTGAAAAACACAAAGATTGAACAAACTGTAAATAAACTGTTCATAAAAGACATAAAATATGTTTGTGCTATTCTATACCCTGAAACCTATTCAAGGGATGTTCTGCTGAAACTTTTTTGAAAACTTTTTTTAACATAATAATTACTGTGAAAAATGATGATTATTTAACCAAAGGAAATCAAATTATAATACTCTTTGCATTTGGTATAGTGCCTTTCATGTCAGGAGGACATTTCAAAGTGCTAAACAGAATTTACTATAAAGTGTATTTTTGAAGGCAAACACAGCAGTCAATTTACACACAGCAATGTCCCACAAACATCCATGAAGTTAATGACCTATTTTATTTATGGGATTGTTGGCCAGGACTCTTTGTGAGTAGACTATGGGATGAACAAGCAGATGGGATCTCTAACATCAATTAAAATTTTATTTCAATCAAACTGTTGAAGAAGATCTTGGAAGAAAAACAGAAATTATATATTTTTGCTTTTTTATGACAAATAGTTCTTTCCACTTTCTCCAAAAAAATATAATAGCCATGAAATATTTTCTGTGCTGTAGAATTATCACTGTTAACTGCGCCAACAAGTTAACTAGAACACAGTATCATTAACTACACCATCAGAAGCCATCTTCAAAATGTTCCTAAACTCTTCGGTGTATTCCAGGTTCGTATTGCTATCATGAGTGATTGGTTAACATTAGCATCAATGACATCCTTTGAAAATGTGTGCATTAAACCATGCCTTGATTCAGATCTCTAAAAGCTCCACCAATGTTACTGGTGCCCTATATTGTGTGTAATCTGGCATAAAATTGTAGTCAGCCTAAAAAGAGCACATCTTTGCACGAAGGAAAGTCTGCTGTTAATCTGGTAAAAAAAATAAGAAATGTATTTAGTTCATTCTAAACAGCCATTAGATACTAAACATTGATTGAGGTCACTTGCCAGTATGCTCTGTACACCTCCGGAGGAATTAGACTCAACACAATGAACATCTCCAGTTATTTACCGCTGATCTGTATGGTTCTGTAATACTGATTTTCTCCCCGTTCTCTTTTGAAGTCAATGACTCAAGCTGGGATCAGCTGCATCAGTAGTGAAGACCAAATTGTATGAAGCTTGGATATTGACATTTCGATCTCTTTCCCCCACAAACCCTTTTAGAACCTGTTTAAAAAACTAACCTGTTCCAAACTCACTAATCTCTTACCAATTAACTAATCTCTTCCGAACTATTATTTGCAACACAGACAGGCATGCAAAGCTCCAAGCTATATCTTGAACAATTATGTGCTGATTGTTTAATTCAGTGAATTGGAGCACTCATCTGATACCCTGACTGAGACGAACTCAACACAGAAATTGATAGCCACTCTCAATGAATCTGGAGATATACAATTGAACAAAACCACCACATGTACTGACGAGATGTGCTGAATAGTGCCCTATGGGCAACCAGAGGTACATTTATGCTACTGAAAAGACATTAACTATACTAGCTAGTGCACTCTGCAATACTGAGTAACATGGTGATGGGGGTGGGGGGAGATTAATATTAATAATAATAATAATCCTTGCATTTGATATAGCGCTTTTCACATCGGGGGGACGTCCCAAAGCGCTTCACAGAACATACTGTAAAGTGAATTGACTGTATATTTGTGGGCGAACGCGGCAGCCAATTGCGCACAGCACTGTCCCACCAACAGTTGTAGATTGAAAATCACCAATTTTTATTATTGTTTTTGATTTTCCTGAAGAGGGGTTCATGAGGGGCATGGAAGAAAAGAAATAGGAACCTGACTTAATAGGCCTACAATCAAACAAATCTCTGAACTGCCCTGCCCTTAATGTTATGAGAAAAGTGAGACTATTAATGTTTTCCACTGATAAAGATGTAAATGTACTTACTTTCATATCCGCACTGCGCACACACACAGAAAGACCTCAGAACTAATGCGCATGGCTGTGAATTGCAGTTACCAGCCTGATGCTTTTAATAGGATTTGATTCCAGTTAGTGGGATACACATTGAAGTCTGTGCCAGCTGTGTCAATGGGATATGAGATGCACCAATCTTTATGTCAATCACACTCAATGCTTAGAGAATGGTCAGCTTCCCACCAAAGTAACTGCTGCAATTTCAAGCTTCACCTGATGGTTACAGCAATCCTTCCCTACATACAAAACCTCAACCATTTGCAGTCTTTTACCCTCATTCACAACACCTCTGTTATTAAATGTACTCAATTACTCAGGACATATTTAAGTACAATAACGCTTTCTTTTAATTTACATATGAACCACCACTGAGCAGCTGCATTTTTAAGACTGAAAAAAATCCAGCTTCTCTGTAGGTTATGTTTTTGTCGTCAATGGTAACCACAATAATATTAAGCTGGTAGCTATTGTGCCCAAACACATAAAAGGTCATGTTTAGTTACTGCTATAGTAACAACCCACATGGTCTGATTAGGCAGAACAACATCTGAAGGACCCTCTTCAATCTGTCTAAGGGTAACTAAATATTTCTAAATTCTAATTCAATATAATTTATAATGTACTATAAGGAACCCAGCAGCTGAGTTCGACCTCTTAATGATCAATTCCAAGTTAATCTTTGCAAAACACTAAACCTGTAGCAAACGTTTCTCCTTCTCCGAGCTAAAGCTCCAATGAAGTAGGTGAGGAGTTAATTCATTTCTGAAAGCTCTTGACTTTTTTCAGGTTTAGAATAAATCATAACAATATTCTCATTTATTCAAGTCAACATAATATTTTATATTCAATATGGTACCACTACAGGAACATAGGAACAGGGTAGGCCATTTGGCCCCTTAAGCCTGTTCCACCATTCTATAAGATCATGGCTGAACTGTACCTCAATTCCAATTACTCACCCTTGCCCCATATGCCCTGATACCCTGACCTAACAAATATCTGTCCAGCTCAGTCTTGGAAACTTGAATGGATCCGGCATCCACAGCCCTATGGCCTTTTTGATAACTCCACGTACTCCTGAGCTTGTTTTTGTTGATTTGTGTATGTGGACACCCAAATCTTTTTGCTTCTCCATAGTTCTTAGTTTCTCACCATTTAGAAAATATTCTGTTTTGCTATTTTTGGATGTCCATAGCGGATGACCTCACACTTCCCCACATTGAATTCCAATAATTTATATCGGGAAATATTGCCCTTTTTAAATGTCTTAAACTGAGGACTGGGTGATCGTTCAGTCTGAAGCATAATATAAATTGAAAAAGTTGCAAGTTGTGGCTCTCACAAAAATATAATAATGCTAGCATTTAATATAGCATCAGCGTCAGAATATCAAGAAAATTGCAAGGAGTTTCACAGAGTTTCTGTAAGGTGTATTTGATTAAGTATTTGTAGGTGACCATAGCAAACAATTTGCACACAGGTACATTCTACATACAACACAAAGTGTGTAACCATAGAATTTTACAGCAATTCAGCCCATGGTGTCATGTGTAAAAGTAATCCTTCTAATTGCTCTCTTCACTCCATTGCTAATTATCTTTCTGCCCTACAGTCACTGACTCATTGACAGTACTAAATTTTATCTGGAGGATCGTTGACTGTAATTAAGACTTTGCCAAAAATGCTGTGTAAATATATAGAGGCAGAATTTCTCCTAAGAATGCTGTCAGATATTACTTGTACAATTTAGCTGCTGTCCCAAAATTCACATTTTACTCTTATGCTCAGAATTTGGAAGACATTCAATCATATTTTACCCTTTTATGTAAGACATGAGAAGTTTCTCAAAATATGAGTTACAGACATAAGAATTTAATTTAATCTGGTATGTGCCTACAAAACACACAGTCACAACCACACTTCACAGTGTAAAATGAAAGGCGTCATACCAAATCAAATACAAGGATTATTTTAAGTATGTGGTAAAATAAATATTGATTTTTATGAGTAGAAATGATCTTTCAGTAGATTTTGAAAGTTTTAACTAAATTGAATACTGTAGCTGTAGAAAGTTGGCAGAATGGATGGAATTCAAATCTGTAACCTCATCTCAGGCTTCAGATAAGAATTAGCACTGGCTTGTAGTGACTCCTACATAGCCAATTTTAGAAGCAGTTACTATTCTGTACATATTCTCCCCCAGCTTGCTCAACAATCTCAGCACAAAGCGGAAATCAGATCTGCTATGTTCTGACGTGCATGGCCAAGCAGTGCACTGGTACTGTCTGCCGTTAATTGCTAGGTTATGAAGGGAGCAAGCTAGCACTCTACTACACAGCAAATGAGAAGAATAAAATCACCAGCAGCCTTGGGGCACTTCAGATAGTTTGGCTCTATTTGAACCAAACTTTCATGCATTCTGCAAGACAACAGAGATCCTTGCGCATGACCAAAGTAACTGAAGTAGCTGTCTGAATGAGGTTAGTTAAGTTTCCACTGACATAGGTCTGCATTAAACATGGTTAAGTGAGCACAATTTTCTGCTAACTCGGGGAGGTTTTCAGGTGGAAAAATAGCTATTGATTACAATAACTAATTTCCATTTTCCTGTGCCACAAAATTGCATGTTTCTGCCACCTGCTAACTAATCAGATAAGTTGCAACTGTATATGAGCATCAGGACAACAGATAAGTGCAGAATCTTCACGCGTTATCGCAGGAGTCTGTTTCCTATATAAAATATGTTTTCCTCAGACTACACTGAATAGTAAAGTACCTAGTCCCTACCATACAATTCTAAAAAATACTGGCATGTTTTATAGGTTGATTACAGAGGCATGTCTGCACTATTTCAAACATTTTGTTACATGTTCAACTTTTATTTGCATTAAGGAACATGGTTAAGGTTTAAACCTTGAAGTCATTTTGAGATTTGTCATAGTTTCACCATTAGAGAATTATCAAGTTTATCATCGTGTAATTTTGGATTATATCTTTTTTATACTGTATTTTGGAAGAGGCTCAGCAATCGTCTTTTCTGGTCTTGTACATT